TCAAATTAAAAAAGAGACAGACACAGTTATAAAAGCAAAAGTAACTTGAATATACGATATACTAGGCGAGGAGCCGTTCACCCCCTAAAAAAAGGCATTAACCGACTAAATTTTTAAAACAAAAACCTACAGCATGAAACTTTTTTATTTTATAAAGTGTATTTTTCTGATAATTTACATATTTTTTTATATTTTTCGGCGTGGTCAGTCAATTGTTATAAACAAAAAAGTTGTAAAAAAAAATTACTCTCCGAATGGCTTTGAAAAGTTTTGAAAATGGACCAAAATAAACACATTTTGCTCTTTGACAAAAATTCGAAAAATGCTTCGTTTCCGAGATATTTACAATTTAATGTGAAAAAAGTGACGAAATCAACAAATTTTTCGATATTTTTGTTTCAAAAACTACTGAACAGATTTTAATTCTAAAAAATCATAATAATCGGCAGATTTTCTACTTTAAGATATACTTTTTTGTTATGGGCCAATCATTTTATCGAAGGTCTAAAGCGAGTAAAAAAAAGTATTTTAAAGAAAATTATGATAACACTTCAAATTTAAATTTTCTTTTTACAATATCTTGGATTAGATTACATTTACAATAAACACTATGATTTTATATACAAATATTATTTGTATTATATGTTAACAGTACAAATGTTCAAAAGATCATTTTGTTTGGTTTTGTAGCCGGAGTAAGGTTTTTGCAAGTAATTAGTAAAATTTAAATATTCGATTTTTGGTTTTATAAATGGCTAAAATTGACTTGAAAGTTATATCAAAACTAAACTAAATAAGCTTTTTAAATCGTAAAATTAACCTAATAATAATAAATTGACCTAGCGGTCTCGAAAAATAAAAAAGTAATTGGATAATTTATTGTATAGGATAATTATTTTATTTTTATTTTACAAAAATATTAAAAGCAATAAAAGTATATTAATTTCTTTTTTAATTAATTTTTTTTAACGTTTCATCAATTTCGGATGGAACATTTTGACATTCATCTGAGCACACACAGACTGCACAGCATTCCAGGTTCGATGACAAACAGTTACAATTTTTCGAAGAACATTTTCCAGTACAAGAACAAATATATTTTTGAAGCATATCTAACGCAGTTTCTCCTTCGAAATAATTAAAATCCAAACAACCATTTTCGATTTTCCATACATGTGCATGTGTCAATGGATCTAGAGTTACAATTTCACTACTTATAGACTGTTTTTTTACTCGCTTTAGAACTTCAATAAAATAATTGACCTATACCAAAAAAATATATCTTCAAGTAAAGGATCTGCCGATTATTATGCTTTTTTTAGAATTAAACTCTGTTCAGTAGTTTTTGAGAAAAAAATTCGGAAAGTTTGTCGATTTCATCACTTTTTTCACATTAATTTGTAGATATCTCGGAAATGAAGCATTTTTCGGATTTTTGTCACAGAACAAAAAGTGTTTGAAAACTGTTTTCAAAGCCATTCGGCGAGTAATTTTTTTTTTACAACTTTTTTGTTGATAATTGACTGACCACGCCGAAAAATATAAAAAAAAATATGTAAATTATCAGAAAAATACACTTTATAAAATAAAAAAAGTTTCATGCTATAGGTTTTTGTTTTAGAAATTTAGTCGGTTACCTTCATTTAGAAGCATCTTTTTAGGGGTGAACCGCTCGCCTATACGAGAGCCTGGACAAAATTACTTACTTAAATATTAGAATATCATGAATCTGTTTTGCAACGAATAATATATGTTATTGCTTTTTTGCGACGTGTCGTCTATATTGATAGATATGACATTCGAGCAGGACATTTATGAGAACAGAAATTCAATTCTAATTGCGAAGGTTGTGTGTGTGTCTGTGCGGACAAGAAAAAAGCTTTTATTATCTGATATGTCATTTGTTAACGTCACTTCTATCAGATTGGTAAATGTAATGTATTGGTTGTTTTCACTAAATGGGCTTCCGACGCAATTACTTCCACCGCATTCACTTCAATTTCGCCAAAAAGTAATTAATATTAACATGGATTCGACACGATTCATTTTTAAAGAGAGAGCGAGAGACGCATCAGTAGGTATTTAATATCCTATTCATTTTTTAAGTATGTTTGGAAGGAATCTTCATGGTTACCACAGGGGTTCAATTTAGAACCATTCTGATTTGATTCAGCGTCTCATATGATTCACATCTTAATTTTTACGAATATTTTACTCATTTGCAAATGTACGAAATCGTAGAAGGGCCATATTTTTTATTATTTACAAAATTTCGAACTTAAACATGAAATTTACAGTTGTTAAAACAGGATATTTACGAAATAATTTTAATTCACATCCGAAATTTCAAGTTCAAACTAGAAATTCTACGTTTCACACTCAAATCAAACCTGAAATTTCACGACAAACTCGAAATTTAAATTTCAAAACAAAACATCGAATAGAAATAAAAAAAATTCCGAATTTAATTTTAAATTGGAAATTTCCCATGCAAATTCGAAGCTTCTATCAAACTCGAAACTTTTAATTCAAACACGAAATTTCCTATTTGAACATATTTCGACTTCTATGTACATATAAAAAATTATATTTATTGCCCAGGAAATTTTCTACGCAATCGACAAAATCTTGATTTCCTTCTTGATTTTTCTTTCATTAAGCTTTTATTTGCCGAAAATGCATTAACCGAATATTGAAAGTACTTGTAGTTAACTATAAAAACATATATTTTTTTCTCGACATCACGATTACCTAAGCTATAAATTATTATGAACTTTACACTTCTATATCTCAGAATCTACACAGTAGAATGTTGTCGCATTTGACTAAAATGCGAGGGGTTACGACGTATTTTTTATGTGTGCAGGATTTTATTGATTGCACAGAAAATTTCCTGCGCAGTAAAATGTTTAAAAATTTAAAAAAATTCTAAATAGTTATAAAAATGTAAAAATAGGTATTTTTAGTATTGATCATTGTTTATTATGACAACAAGTATCTCTAAAAAATTGTGTACACTTTCTAAACCTTAATTTAAACCCACGGTACGCAATAAACTTTTTGAAATTTTCTTAATTAACAATCCTGTCAATCGAAAACCAAGCGATCGATCGCTGCAAAATTCTTAGGGTAGAATTAACATACGTTTTACTATTTGTTCACAACGTTTCATCAATATTTATAACTATTTACTTATTTTAAAAATTTCTCCAAATATACATATGGTTTTCTACTATTGTTAATGCAAAATTCAACTTTTTTGATTCGCAGTTTTTGTAACTTTATAGAAAATCGTCAAATAAACAAAAAATAAACAATGACTTTTTTTTCAATGTTATAGGGAAAAATATGTCGAAAAACGGGTAATTTTCTTTCTTTTTATGTTTATTGTTCCCCTTAATTTAGCAATGTTTTGGTATAGGGTCGCTATAATAATTGTTTGCGTCACGTGTTTTGACATAGTATACCGAGAAGCTTAAAATTTCACTCATGTTTTGAATCCGAATCAAAGAAGCTTTAAACTAGTCAGGTAGAGTAGTACATATAAAAGAACATCGGGCTTGTTATGACAGCCATCCAGACAGCGCTGTTCAAGTTTCGAAATTTTCACCGATGTTNTTTCTCGATTTCTCGACACTTTTTTCTCGTCTCGAGTAAGGCCAGACTTCCCGGGAATTCTTGCTTCGAGAAGTCTCGACCAGAAACCCTATTCGCAGGTTTTGTAACTTTATAGAAAATCGTCAAATAAACAGAAAATAAACAATGACTTTTTTTTTCAATGTTATAGGGAAAAATATGTCGAAAAACGGGTAATTTTCTTTCTTTTTATGTTTATTGTTCCTCTTAATTTAGCAATGTTTTTTTTGGAATAGGGTCGCTATAATAATTGTTTGCGTCACGTGTTTTGACATAGTATACCGAGAAGCTTAAAATTTCACTCATGTTTTGAATCCGAATCATAGAAGCTGTAAACTAGTCAGGTAGAGTAGTACATATAAAAGAACATCGGGCTTGTTATGACAGCCATCCAGACAGCGCTGTTCAAGTTTCGAAATTTTCACCGATGTTTTGAATTGATCGAAGCTGGCCAAGGAACTGTAAACCGCCCCGTCTATCAGTCCACAGCAAAACTCAATGCTGTTTTGGAGAGCGACCTCCGAATACCGGCGCAGATTGCCTAAAAAAGCACTCAAATTTCAGCAAACCAGCGTAACAGAACGTAAATCCAGAAACCCATCCATATTCGACGACGGGTCAAGACAACACCAGAGAGGTGGAAGGCAAGAAACGACAGCGAAGATCCATCTGGAGAATTGGCGGAATTATCAAAAGGGGCGATCGAACGTCGACTCTAGCGTTGGCAGGTAATTAACAAGGGTAATATTTCTGGCCAGTACAAAGTAATGCTGTCCGCGTTCACTTTAAATACATCAGAGACGATAAGAAAATAAGACGAATTTTAATTCTTGTTATTTTATGACTTTCCCTCGTATTTTACAGAACTTGGAAACCAATAGTTGTATTATTTTAACTGATATCACCCAATAATTCTTCAACAGTAATCGTGAGCTGATATATTATTAACGTCGCGCTGAATAGCTCATAAATTTAAAAAATACGATTTTTTTATTCGAAGGGGCACTCATGATGACTGCGTACAATATTAAAAGATATTCCAGGACAATAATTTGATTCTGAAATTATTTACGTACAGGACGCTAATTTATGTAATTTGTGCTAAAGAAAATACGAACGAGGCAAATAACATATCATTTATATAAAGTCCTCTATCCCTAAAGTTTGTACGTAGGCAGAATATATCATTTCATACTTAATTCAGGACACTTAAGACAGCGCAGGCCATTTGAACGTTTCATATTTAATGCAACGGTAACTCGAAATCATCAATATTCCAGTGAAATTTAAACTTTCTCGGTGAAGCTTGTAATTTGTTTGGAGTCCAGGGGTATCATTACCGTTAGCGTATGTGGAAAACTTACCCGTGTGGATGTAGGTGTGTTTTTTCATGTCAGATTTCTGGTGAAATCTCTTGCCGCAGTACTGGCAGGGGTAGGGCCTCGTGTCCGAGTGGATCAGGAGGTGCGTGGAGAGGGTCGACGATCTCTTGAAGGATTTCCCGCATTGCTGACACTGGAACAAAAATCGTGACTTAGTGTTTGGGCAGATAAATCGGACGGATTTGATGAAATCGTATTAAAATTGATCGTGATCTTTATAGATATATTTATGTATTTTGTGTGCTGAATCTGAATCTGAAGTCCGCTTAGCTCAAACACCCCAAAAATTTTGAGTAATTGTCGAAAATCACGTTAGTGAAAGTTTCTTGCGTATAAGCTGAACTCGAGTTTGAAATCTGTTAGCCGAATCCCCCCACAGATTTTGTAAAAAAATCTGAAAAATAGTAAAAAATTNTGTAACCATTACATTTTAAACTTTTTTTATGAAATCTCTACTTTTAGACGAATAATGATAATAATATCTCTACACCCCATTCTAAGTACGAGAATTAGCCCAGAAGTCGGAGACTTGTGCGGGAGAGGAGGCGGCATATTATTATTACGCAGGTCACATTTGCGCACAGGAACGACTTATGTTGGCAGGCCCTAACCACCATTCAGTGCAGGAATGAGGGAAACCTGGAAAACCTCATTAATTAGGGGCGTGGTCAAATGCCAACCGGTGTCAATCTCTCACATTGACCCAAGCCAACATTCCTCCACCCTGCACAGAGGGTGCCAATCCTCCGCACAAGCATAGCTAATCTACGGTCTACCGGCCGCGGAATTCGAAACCCGGGCAGATAGCACACATCGATTTAAGTACTGACGCCTTAAACCGTGCGGCTATCGACCGTGTTATATTTATATAGAAAATTTATAAAGGGGTCTTCCAGATTGGATCAAGGTTCTTCTCATAAATTTCGTGGAGTCGAATCTGTTAACTCTCATTACCCAAAAATTTTGCAAAAATCGCAAAATATCACAAAAAAACCCAAAAAATCTTGAATGATGTCATGGATATGATTTACTTCCAAATAAATTCGACTGATTCAAACAAGGCTTCCTTTGATGTTGCTCTTACACTTTTCTTCTCTTATAGCGAACTCTTTTCAAACAGTTAGGTTGCTTGATGAATCTTAAATTGCACTTCCTACACTCTCACCTTGACTATTTACCTCAAAAACTTGGTGACTACAGTGAAGAAGAATGAGAAGGATTCCAAGATATAAGTGATAAAGAGATAAAAGAATCAGAATAGACAGAAGAGAAGGAGAAGCCGCTGCATAGGTCATTCGAAGAGAAAAGGGTTTGCTACAAGAAAACAAATGTGTGAAAGCAACATCAAAGAAAGCCTGGTTCGAGACAGTCGTATTTCTTTGGTAATTCATATCCATGACATTTATTCGAGATTTTTTGAGATTCACGATTACCTTTTTTTTTGCGATATTTTGCGATTTTTACAAAACTGTTGGGTAATGAGGCTCAACAGACTTTTAGATTCAAATTCGACTAGACAAAATTTACGAGAAAAACACTTGATCCAATCTAGAAAACCTCTTTATAATTTTTATCACTCTCATTAATATTAACATATACACATATTACACTTGGAAGCATACACACATATTTTGACACCACAGACATTTTGCAGCATATGACATTAAGTGCATTCTGTAACATGTAACAATCAGCAACGGTGTTTATTTCGCACAATAGTTTAAGGTCATCTGTCCACATTAAATGGTGTAACTTGCAGATCAGCCATGTTGTCGTTTATGAAAAGAACAAAGAGTAAGGGTCCGAGTGTAGGTCCTTGAGGCACACCAGATATTTGATGAAACTTAGGAGACTTAAAACCACGACATTGAACAAACTGATACCTATTTTGTAAATATGATTTAAAATGTTGCAATACTGCATTTAGACACACCAAACCTATCTAGTTTGTGCAACAAGAGGTCGTGGTCGAGGATGTCAAAATTAGGTATCGACTTGTTTCATCTTGTCGAGTTTATCACTAATAAATTGAGTTTCATGGATAAAGACTTTTATTGAATGGATTTACGCCAGGAGCCCTATCATCCCATATAAACGAATTTAATTATTTTAAAGATAAACTATGAAGCAGTACCTTACAAGTAATCTAACAGACAATTAAAACAGTAACAAATAAATAATGATACATGAAATACACGAAAATGAGTAAATAATCTGTTTACTTACCTGATTTTTGCAGCATATGACATACTTGAAATCTTGAGGCTAATCTTTGAGTACCAGAATCCTCTTCCACGGCATTTCTCACTCTCTGTGAGTTTGTTCCCGTCCACACTAGCGTTCAAAGCTCCCATAATCTCATAAATATTGAACATCTTACAAACATTTTCTTTTTCGGTACTTGACGGTTGGGATAATCTTTTTGCAACATAATTTTTTCTCTTCATAAAAAATATGCTCTAACCATATCAACACTTTCTTGATTCAACTCTTTCTTGTATACATGCTTTTTCATAAAATCACACAGTAACTTGAAAATAAAAACACAAAAATGCACTGGACCGTCACTAAACACTGAAATAACTAAACCCAACTGAAAATATACAAAAATATAACAAAACGAAGCGGTGACGTATTCAAGTATCCCCGTTTGTCGAATTAACGTGGTAGTTTGTTTTCTACCCGTCTGTCATCTCGTCATATCACACCAGGTATAGAGTCAACTGGTAGGCAGCAGCGCCCTTCCATAGGCGGCAATACGGCATTTTAACTAATGCTCTTCGTAAGCGTTCTGAACAGGATCGGATTCTGCTTAAATTTAAACTGTTCATGGTCTAATTTTGTTGCTGCTTTGTTTATTTTCGATTAAGTTGTGGCTTAAGAATTACAGTGCAGACTCGATTGATAAAAAAAAAATTACCTCAAAAAAGCTGACCTCCCACTTATCTGACCCCCACTCTCCATAATACCAATACCAGCCCCTTTGTTCTGTTTAAATCATTATATTTACTCATCTATAAACAGCATTTCTTTTCCGTGAACTGGTAATATATGCACTCAAACGATCACCTAATGCTCTATTACAAAAATTGGAAACGTTTAATAACAATAAAATTAAATAATACAGTTGTCCAGCATATCGCTCCCGCTTACATTTTAATAAGATTGCATCAGTTTGAGGCATTACCAAATCTATTAGCTGTCCCATTTAATGACTTGAGTATTAATATTTCAAAATCATGACAAATTAAATATGGGGTAGGTACATACTAAAATAATAGTAAAATATGAATTATGATAGGGACTTGTATTATTAAAACGTATTGATCGTTATAATAAATGAAAGGTTACACAAATAAATGTTTAGTGTACAAACGTATCATTACTTGAAAAAAAAAAAAATGGTCTTCTTATGGCCCGAATAGATATTGAGTACCTCTTATTGTTAGTCGTAATTGTACTTGTAGCTCGTTTGGAAAAAATGAGTATTTACTGTAAAAAAACTATACAACAATAATACTGTCAGTTTTCCAGGTGAAAAGTTGTCTTATTTTATGTGAATGAAAAGATAATTGAAAACACTATATCTTAACTGAAATGTAATACAGGAATTTGTATAGAAAGCTGCTTCCGATTTCTTCCAACGTTCTCCTTTTTTACAAAAGCACGAAATCTAGAGGATCTATTATAAGAAATTTCAGACTGTTTAAATATTAGTCAGGTCCTGGATACTTATTTTGCGATATTCTCATGACAAAACTGTTGATCCTTGAGCAACAATTTGCCTTAGTTTATTGAAAAGCAGGAAAAACCTACCCACTGTAATATAATATTATTAAATTAATAATATCACAATAAACCACTCATACAAATTTTATCAAAGCGGAAAGTCAATGGGTAGGAGTGCCTATACTATTTGTAAAGTTAAAGTAACAGTTCTTTGAGTATTATATGCACAGTTCAACGGTAAACTTCAATTTGTCGCGCAATGTTCGGGTAGAACCTGCTTCAACAAGATGTCATATTTACTCCTTCAATTCAATTCTTTAACTCTTGATCATTGATAGCATTAAGTTTTCCCATTCGGGGTTATTGGCCTTTGGCAACAGTGGTCATAACATTTACCTTCAAGATAATTGACCTGTGACCCTTGAGGTTAACTTTTGAAGTTGATTGATTTTTCGCAATTTTCTTATACTCCTTATTCTAGAATAAAATTTCATGTACTTGCTGGTCTTTGGGAAATGGTAAATATAAATGAGATGAATATCTAACACCAAGAGGATTTTCAGGAAACGATTCCCCTTTGGTAAGATTATCTGCCATGGGGTAAGTAACTATATTTTGATATAAAATTTCATGAACTTGAAGTGGGTCCCTAGAATCAAGTACTGGTACATTGAATGAGAGGAAATGTCTGACTTCGGGAAGACTTACAATCATTCAAAAACATCAGAACAGCTCTAACATATGTCAGTGTAAATGGAAACGGCATAAAAAAACATTAAATTCTATCGAAATTACTTTAGAATACAACAAAGTTCATCAAAGTCACTTCAAATTGCATAAATATACCAAAAACGGTAGCAGATACATCAAAATAGTATTAGAAATGCAATGGAAGCCTTTAAAAACTAACTAAATAAATGAAAATATTTCAAAATGCCTAGATATTTGTGTTTTGAAATAATTTTAAATATTTGGAGAAACCTCGAATACTTCGAAAGGTCAAAGATTCCCTTTGACCTTTTAACTCCGGAGTCATTGGCCTTTCACCACCGGGGTCATTCACCTTTCATCTACGAGGTCATTAATCTTTAACTCTTGGTGGCATTGTCTTTTATCTCATGCTGTGATCCTCAGAATCATCGAGATATTTAGTTTGTATGTTTTTGACCTATTGCGAAGTTTTTAGAGACTTCCATGTGCTTTTAATGCTCTTTTCATGTATTTTGCAACTCTTTTGGTGCTAGAAATATTATTATGTATTCCAAGGATATTTTGATTCATTTTTTTCATGTTGATGTGGACTTAGTTTCGTTATTTTCGTTTGGATCTCAAAAGAATCCTAAATTTACAATTACTTTTCTTGAAAACCGTCCAGTTTTGTATATGTTATAATTTATTTTTTCA